ACACACACACACACACACACACACACACACACACACACACACACGATTTTCCGTTGTTTCTGCTCTGGATTTGTCCTCTTGCTTCTCGTTCATGGGAAATGACTAACCGCCCGGCCGGAAGCTGTCAAACATATCTAACCCCCAGCCTTCCTTTATTCTTCATGAATGCACTCAGGCCCGTTGTAAATAAACACCACCCCCAGCCCTGCTGTTCCCAGCCATCCTAGGGAGCCTGCCAAAGGCCGGCCTGGGATCACATCCTTCAGTTTAGACTTTCCCCGCAGAAGGAGAGCAGGAAGGTCTAACTGCCACGAAGAAAACATCAGAAGCGTGTTTGGAGGAGGGCAGAAAGGCCAGTGAAGCCTGTTTGGTGGTTTATTATTATTAGTGGTAATTATTTCCGGCATGCAGTGCAGTGGTGTCTGCGGCCTGACCGAGGTCCAGGAGCCCATCCATGGCTGTCTCAGGTACAGTGTACGGGCGGAGGTGGAGGTACGGGCGGAGGTGGAGGTACGGGCGGAGGTGGAGGCCTCCTCAGGACGGTGTAACTCCTGCCCTGCCTTTGGGGGCCGAAGAGAAGAAAACGCAAAAGACAGCAAGGACCTCTGAATCCCTGAACAGGGCAAAGCAGGAATGAGCTGCAAAGATGGCTTTCTCCCTGACTTACTTCACTCTGTATGACAGACTCCAGTAAGTCAGAAAGAGAAAAACAAATATCGTATATGAACGCATATATGTGGAATCTAGAAAAATGAAACAGATGAACCTATTTGCAGGGCAGGAATAGAGACGCAGACGTAGAGAATGGACATGTGGGCACAAGGGGGAAGGGGAGGGTGGGACGAATTGGGAGATTAGGATTGACATATATACACCACCGTGTGTAAAATAGACAGCTAGTGGGAACCTGCTGTATAGCACAGGGAGCTCAGCTCGGTGCTCTGTGATGACCTAGACGGGTGGGATGAGGCGGGAAGGGACAGGGAGGTCCAGGAGGGAGGGGATATATGTATACATAGAGCTGAGTCACTTTGTTACACAGCAGAAACTAACACACCGTTGTAAAGCAGCTATACTCCAATTTTTAAAAAAAGAAAGATGTCTTTCTCCTTCTCTAAGTGCCCACATCTTTGCTTGGCCCCGGCCCAGGAGTCCTGGCTCTGCCTTGGTCTAAGGAGGCAGGTCTGGTCAGCAGTGGCCTTGAATTCTGACCACGTCTGGGTTTTGCATAGGCCGAAGGCCGAGTTCATTCCCTTGCGGCGAGGTGCGTGGGCCGGGGCATGGAGGGGACGGGCCCTGTCTCCTCTACCGGCTCCTCCACCCAAATCTGACTTGTATTTTGCAGAGTAAGATGAAGGCCGAGGTCAAGGGCACTCACACTTGTAGGATTCAGGACACATTCCAGGAACCAGCCCCTCCTTGTACTCAAGTTTCCAAAGGCAGGACTGAAGTGCGGATTCAGGGAGAGGGTGAGGAATATCAAATTACGGGAAATCAGGAAACTACTGATGCTCGTGCAAGGATGTCCAAAGACTGGCAGCCACTCTTTCTCCAGGCAGTTCTGTCCCTTGATTGGTTTCATGTCCACAAAGCCAGGAAACCTTTAGGGTTGCGGATCCTTTGTTTTCCTAGTGACTCGCCCAGACCTCACCTTCATGCTCAGTCAATAGCCCGTGGGACCTCCAGACTTGGCTGGCTTGGAAGAGCTACCCTCAGGTCAGCCAATTCTGGCCGATGCTCCAGTCGAAAACTGTGGCCCCTGGGGGAGCTGGGGCCTGGTCAGCCATTTGCATTTCATAGACGTGTACCTGCAGCAGCCGAGGCCTTCTTGTTGCGGGGTTTTACTCCTTTGGGATGAGCTAGAGTGGTTTTTGCAGCTGCCCAGCAGCTCCTTGACCCCATCGTGCCTGGGAGGCTTTGAGTAGGTCAGGAATGCTGGGGACCTTCCAGGTGATTCTGAGCATTACCCTTCTCTTCCTGGGGCTTCCTTCAGAGGGAGGCTTCCCCTGAGTGCTGGAGCCCTCCCTCCTGCTTGGGGATTGTCACCGATTTCCTCAAGTGAGCTGCCTGCCGGGCCTCTAGGGCCTCTAACACTCCCTGGCGGAACAGAGCGTCCTTTGTGAGATTCCTGAGGCTGGGGTCAGGGTAGGGGCCAGCTCCCGGAGCCAGCTCTCAGGGCAGCGGCTGTCCCAGAGTGGGTGTAGTGCTGTGTTACCAAGAGATAAAGTCTTGGAAGAGGCCGCGGAGAGGAAAGGAGACGCATTCCAGACTGAGGAGTGTTTGGCCTTGAGGGCCCTGGGTTTGGAGAAAAGGGCCCACTTGGCAGGACCACTGTGGGGGCGGGGGAGCCCTTGGTGGGAGCAGGTAGAAGAGGTGAATTCCCGGTGGTGGTGAGGCTGGCCTGGGATCAAACTCCAGCTCTGATGCCTTTACTTAATAAAATATCTCACCCTTCAATCAGCTCAACACCCGTTTACTGAGTCACTTTCCTAAGGGTATCTCCATCCAGTGGAAAAATCAAAAATTGATTCTTATTTTTTTTTAAATTGTATTGGCGTGTAGTTGATGTACAGTGTTGTGTTAGTTTCAGGTATGCAGCAAAGTGATTCAGTTATGCATATATTCATTCTTTTTCAGGTTTTTTCCCCATAAAGATTCCTACAGAATACTGAGTAGAGTTCCCTGTGCTGTACAGTAGGTCCTTGTTGCCTATCTATTTTATATATAGTAGTGTATGTTAATCCCAAACTCCTAATTTATCCCTCCCCTCCACGTTTCCCCTTTGATAACCATAAGTTTGTTTTTGAAATCTGTGAGTCTGTTTCTGTTTTGTAAATAAGTTCATTTGTATCATTTTTTAAAAAATTAGATTCCACATATGAGTGATATCATATGATATTTGTCTTTGTCTGAAAAATCAAAAGATTTAAAACCGAATGATTATTGGATTATTGGAGTGGAGGACGGGATGGAGTTTTTGGATGATGGTAGAGAAGAGACCAGTTTTGATATGAGGCCGGCCAATGAAAGGCATGAGATGCTTCAGTGAGAAGTTTGTTTCTATCCTTGAAGTCAGAAGGGCTCCTTGGGAGGATTTTATGCAAGAGAGTGACACGGGAAGATTGTGTTTTAGGACGATCACTCTGGAAGTTCCATGGAGAATGGATGAAGAGGTGGGGAAGGAGGTGAGCTGGGGAGGAATGAGGAAGTCCCGATTTTAAGGGAAGGTATGCAGAGTGGAAAGGAAAGGATGCATTTAAGGCATTAAAGCATTGGCATTCGATGGATATAAATGATTCCCAATTTTCTGGCTTGGACATGAGTGGATAGAGAAGAGGACGTGATTTAAGCATCAGGAAATCAGCATTCTTTCTTGACAATATACTGCATTAGGCTAGGCTTCTGCAAACTCTGAAATCTCAGTAACGTAAGTGTGCAAAGTCCTTTCCTTTGCCCTCTTACAAAGTCTGCTGTGAATCTGGGGACCCTCAGGGTGGTGACTCGGGGATCCAGGCTGTCTCTTGGGCAGGTGTGGAGAGTTGCGTACTTGCTCTCAAATGCTTCATCCCACTGATGTCACGTATTGTTTCCTCTCTCAGCTCATTAACCAGAGCTGGACACTGGGAGAAGGGCTGGGAGACACTGGGAGAGCAGGGGGCATGTTTTGGTGAGCAGTGAGGTCAAGTGTGAGGTGCCCTGCATCACCCCAAATAAGAGTCTAGATGGCGCTCGGGATTGGGTGTTCGAATGCAGTCTGAGCTGGAGATTGTGAATAGATTCGGGAATCAACAGAACAGGAGGTGGAAATGTTTGGGATCCCCTAGCGGGAGAAGGTTGAGTTACAAGAGCAGGGGTAAGGGGGAGGGATTATTAGGAGGTTGGCATTACCATACACACACTACTATGTAGAAAATAGGTACTCAGCAAGGACCTACTGTACAGCTCAGGGAACTCTACTCAATACTCTGTAATAACCTGCACGGGAAAAGAATCTGAAAAAGAATCGATATATGTATAACTGAATCACTTTGCTGTACACCTGAAACTAACACAACATTGTTAATCAACTCTACTCCCATATAAAATAAAAATTAAAGAAAAAGAAGGGCTTCCCTGGTGGCGCAGCGGTTGAGAGCCCGCCTGCCGATGCAGGGGATGCGGGTTCGTGCCCCGGTCTGGGAGGATCCCACATGCCGCGGAGTGGCTGGGCCCGTGAGCCATGGCCTCTGGGCAGGCAGTGAGTCCCAGCAGTGGTGGTTTCCTCCCCGCTCTTTGCACAGCGCTCAGCTCTGCCCTCTGTTTGTCAGGGACCGTGGTGTATGGCGAGCCCATCACCGCCAGCTTGGGGACTGACGGCTCCCAGTACTGGAGCAAGAACTGGGCCAAGGCTGCTGCTTTTGTTACCTCCCCGCCCCTGAGCCCCGACCCGACCACTCCGGACTTTCTGAACTCCTTGCTGTCGTGGTGAGTGTTGGCGACTTGTTCCCACCTTCCGTTCTTGGTCTTTCCTTGCACCACGCTGACCGGCGGGTTCCAACATGGTGGGCAGAAGCAAACTTGCAAACAGAGACCTCGTTCTCCAAACTCGGATTGCCGGACGGCAGCAGGGGATTGTCACCCTGACGCTTTTGGGGGCAATTCTGGGTAAAAACCAGGGCCATCTTGAAAGTCAACCAAAGCAGATGAATGAGGTAGCAAAAGGGTTCTACTGTGGTGCAGTGTCACTCGTAAGATACCTCACAAACTAGACGTAGATACACAGCATTAGAATGAAGCTTCCGCGTCAGGCCATAGCTTCCCAAATTTCCTGTCTCCTGAGGGGAAGACAGTTAAGTCAAAAACTTTCAGTGGCCTGGCCCATTAAAAAGTACATTCAAGGGGCTTCCCTGGTGGCACAGTGGTTGAGAGTCTGCCTGCCGATGCAGGGGACATGGGTTCGTGCCCCGGTCCGGGAAGATCCCACATGCCGCGGAGCGGCTGGGCCCGTGAGCCATGGCCGCTGAGCCTGCGCGTCCGGAGCCTGTGCTCCACAACGGGAGAGGCCACAACAGTGAGAGGCCCGCGTACCACAAAAAGAAAAAAAAAAGTACATTCAAGGATGATCTGAGGTCAAAGATTAGTGAAAAGCCAGTGGTATGTTTTCCTTCCAGTGGAGATCTCCAGGTCACTGGCAGTGCCCACTGTACCTTCAACACTGCCCAGAAGGCCGTAGGAAAGGACAACTTCACCCTGATCCCTGAAGGCACCAATGGCACGGAGGAGCGGATGTCCGTCATCTGGGATAAGGCTGTGGTAAGGGGCGATGGTCTCACACAGGGGGAGGGCTCAGCTTTCTCCTGCCTCCTCATCCGAGGGCCCTGGGCCTCATGCAGGCCTGGAAACGGCAGTTGAGAGAATTCTAGAAACTGGAACTTGTGTGGTAATATTTCTTAGGTTTGGAAATCTAAGACCACTCCTCAGAGGTCATTTCCTCCTAAGTATCCCATATGTATTTGTCACCATTGTCGTCTGTGGACCAGTAGAGACTGGAAAAAACCAGTCTTTACCATATGACTCTTTCGATCAGTCCAGAAAAAGCTTCCTTAGCAACCTGATGACTTAGTTAATCCACTCGTGGAAATGGACTCAGTTTCCTTAAAATGGTCTTTTGGACTCTCTGGGCTCAGCCTGCTTTGAACATGTCCTGACCTTTAAGGGATCTGTGGGTTTTTTTATTTTTACTATTTTAAAACGTAATAACAATAGGTTTTCTGTTTCTTAATGAATTTTTTCAATTATGTAAACTGTGTATCGTTATTCCAAAAGGAAAATAAAAATCACTTATGACACCCTATTTCAGATACAACTGCAATGAACGTTTTAGCAAATGTCTTTCATTTTTTGCCAGTGAGAGATTGCACGTGTGTGTGTGTGTGTGTGTGTGTGTGTGTGTGTGTGAGTGTGTGACTGGAATACTATTTTGCAGCCTATCTTTTAAAACTATAGCGTGAAAACGTCTCCACATCCTTAAACATACTTGAACAACTTGGTTTTTAAGAGCAGACCATTCCATCTTAATGCTGAACTGTAATTCATTTGTAATTCTTTGGTTGGTCACTTATGTTGTTTCTGATTTTCTTACTGGGATGAACACCCTTATAGCTACATCCTTGGATACATCTTTAATGATGCTTGTAGGAGAAACTTCTAGAAGTGGTAGTGCTGGGTCAAGGGGTGTGCACATTTTTAAGGCTTTTGATATATATTGTCAAAATTCCTTCCAAAAAGATTGCACCAATTTGTATGCTGCCAGCAATATGTGGCATTGCCCAGTTACTCCTACCAGGTCTGAATTGGTGTTATCATCAAAAAACCCAAAGTATCACCGATTTGATTGGTGAATGTTGTGTCTCATTGTTTTACATTCAGTCTCTTCAGTGACTGACAAAAGTGTATATTTCTTTTGTATGTTTTTGGCCATTTGTATTTTTCTCTCCCTCTTACTACCTGCTCATTTCCTTTGGCCATTTTTCTGTTGCATTTAGAGCAGGTTTCCTAACTCGGAGAAATGCATTCATCTCCTCAAATTCTGCACTTAAAGGGACATGAGGCGCAAGTGGTAGAGACGAGAAGGTGGGGGGCAGGACATGGGGAGTGTGATTGGCACCCAGGGTTTGCTGCGGGACGGGCGGCTGAGACTGCCATGTTAGCTGGCCTACAAGGTCTGTGCCTGTATCTTTGAAGAGGACATAAGCCAAATGATGTTTCCTGAAGAGGCCCTGCAGCCCCTTCAAATTTTTTTTTAAAACTTTTTACTTTGAAATGATTATAGATCCAGAGGAACTTGCAGAGATAGGACAGAGAGGTCCTGAGTACCCTTCACCCAGTTTCCCCCATGGTTACGTCTTACATAATTAGAGAGAGATATCCAAACCCAGAGATCGACAGTGCTGCCACGTGTGTGTATAGTTCTGTGCCATTTTGTCATACGTAGATCCATGTAACCATCACCTCAATCAAGGTAGAGATGCCCTCCGTCACCACAGAGACCCCTCTCCTACTGCCCCTTTATAGTCACACCCACCCCTAACCCTTGGAAGAATCTCCGTCTCACCCCTGGTCTGTCCATCTCTATAACCTGGTTATTTTGCCAACGTTGCAGAAATGAAATCATACAGTATGTGACCTTTGGAGGTTGTTTTTTTCACTCCGTATGATGCCTTTAGTATCCAAGTTGTTGTGTGTATCAAAAGTGTGTTCCTTTTTATGGCTAAGTAGTATTCCACCCTTCAACTTTTTAGTCTGCTTCTGTTGTGTGCGTGCGTGTTGTGCATGTGTGTGTTGTCCTCCTCAGGTCACTGGGAAGATGGACGAGAACCAGTTTGTGGCCGTGACCAGCACCAATGCAGCCAAAGTGTTCAACCTTTACCCCCGGAAAGGCCGCATTGCTGTGGGATCCGATGCTGACCTGGTCATCTGGGACCCTGACAGCGTGAAAACCGTCTCTGCCAAGACCCACAACAGTGTAAGGCCACGTGGGCCCAGTCCAAACGAACTACAGTCACAGAAAGGGACAGAGGCAGGGAGAGTCCTCAGGATTTATGAAAAGAACTCACTGTGATAGGAAAGAACTCTTCCCCAGGATGTTATAACTTGCAATTTACTGAGAAAAAATAGCTCTTTCCTTTTCGTTAGTGAGGTCAATAAGACTGTTAATCTTATCACTTTGGAGTACGATGGCCTCTCTCTGGATAGAGGTCTCTATCTATGGACCTTCAGAGCCTCCAGCGTCATGCCTGCACGTCAGAAGCTTCTAGAAGTCAGGCAGCATTCCATTTTAATAGTTTGGTGCAGCACCTCTCATGGCGTCCCTTGGTGCAAGGGATCCAAATAAAACATTCAAATGTCCACTCCCGAGATGCCCACTGGGCACTTTTATTCTTTGAAGCAACTGTTTTCTCATGTCAGTGTTGTCGTCCGAAAGCCTAAAAGGCAGATGCTCTTATGTCCTAAAGGAATGAATTGACTTTGAAGAAATAGAAGAAATACTCTGGCAGCCGTTCTGATTAGGAGTTTAGGATCTGCAGTTCTGGGGTGTCTCTTGCCTTTCGGTCTAGACTGCGGAGATTGGGGATGCCCTGTCTTGTTAATGGGACCCTGGGCAGGTGACCTCATGTCATGTCTCAGGCTCGTCAGCTGAGAATGAGGAGCTTAGACGAGGCCCCTGGGTGTCCTGTGATTCTGCAAGGTCAGTGGGCATTAGGTAGAGGTGTAGGTACCATTGGTTCTTCGTAGAAGAAATTGTGTGTGTCTGTTTAATACTGAGAGGCCAAGGACAAAGGGAGAGCTTTGGAAAAGAAATGGACCTAGGACAGAGTGTTTTATGTCAGAAACCCGTATGACTCTTGAAGTGAATTCTTAGTGAATGAAGAGGCTCTTCAAGTTCAAGGTCTAAATTGAAAGCCTGCTCAATGGGGAATCTGATTCTAGATTGCCCACCCCAGGTGGCCTGGGCCAGCAAGTCCCGACACCTCCTCCAAGGGCCAGCTCAGGGCTGGGCTTCTGGCATTTCTCCAGGACAGCACTGGACTCTTGGCCAAATCCCGGTCCTCTTTCTCCTTTGGGCCGAGGGACTTGAGGTGCCCTGGCGCCCGTGGGTGCCAGGATGGTGGGTGCCTTTAGGGAAGGCTGCTCGGCTCTCAGTATTAATAGTTGGCTCTTCCCTTCTTCCACACTGGCTGGCTTAGCTACGCAGCAGAGCCTTACAGCCGCACCAACTTGTGACTTAGATCATAACCTCCCGGGGGTCCAGAATTGGCTTCTTTATGGGCAGGGGTCCTAGGGACCTGCCTGGTGAACCTATCTCTTCCTATGCATTTAGCATCACAGCTCCATTTACCCTTTCATTTGGCCTTCTCAATAAAGGGATGGTATTATTATCCCAATCGGGAAGATAAATAAACGGACCCTTAGAGAGCTTAAGTGACCAGTCTAACATTACATAGCTATTTTGCGGTGGAGCCAGAATTAGAACCCAAAATTGTCCAGGGCTCTTCCCTGCCAGACTGCGTGTGCAGCCTCTTGGTCAGGGTTAGAGGGACAACATGCTCCTCTTCCCTTCCAGAGTCCCCCTCCCCAGAGGTAATGGAAAGGGCAGACCGGACTCATCGTGTAAGCTGCAGATGACCTAGCTAGGGAGCCTGCGTTTGGAGTTCTTAACCCAGCGCAAGACAGGATGTAAAGGAGTGATGATTTGAGAAGACAGATGCTGCTCTCTGGACATTCAGTAGCACTGCCCTGGCTTTACCCCCAGGCAACCCCATATAGGAAATCATGGCTTCTAGAAGTGCCTCTTGCCCATCCTCACCTGTTTGAAAGAGCCCACACTAAGCATGCTTGTGCAGCTTTAATTATCTGGGAGAACGCGAGCAAGAGGCTTTCCCCGTGTGATACAGTGTTTCCTACCATGGGGCTAGTTAACTTTAATTTGGAGTAGCTAGCTAACTCTTGTTGACAGCGCTGTTGCTAAGCCTCTGCTGGATTTGCCAAGCATCCAGCCAGATGAGTCATTTTAGGAAACCTATGTGGATAGAGGTTAAAAATGTCTCTACCTGGTAAGTGATGAAGGCTCAGTGCCTCACAGTTGGACAGAGTAGGCTCTGAATGCCCCGAGCTGTGATCTGACCATTGAACTTGTTAATTTTAAGTCACTTAGAGTCATGGGACTGGTTCCCCCATCTTTGAAGACTGGGAGGTGGCCCAAAGCTCTTCTGGGCACTGTGGTCAGTCATTTATAGGCAACTAAACTCAATGTCTGCGTCTTAGGATGTCTTCCGACACTAAAGGGCTTGCAGTCTTGTTGGGAGAGTGCAATAAAAAACCAGACAGTCGATCAGGGATTTTCTAAATGCCTACCTAGTGCTGAGTAGTGGGCTAGATGCTTTTGTTCCTTTTATTTCTTGTGATCCTAGCATCATTTCTGTAAGGTGGGCCGTGTCCCCTCATAGATGAGGATGCTGGATCTCAGATCAGTGCAAGGGATTTGTCCAAAGTCACTCAGCTGGCCAAGAGCAGACCTGGGATGTGGGCCCCAGGCCGATGGTACCATGGCCAAAGTTGTCTCCATGACTCCAGGAGGTCACAAGAGGAGCTTGTATAGACAGCCATGCAGGAACATGGAAGAGATGGGGCTCGATTCACCCCTTAAAGGATGACCCTTTCAAAGGTCATTTCAGAGTGGACCGAATTCTCTGCTGGTAATCTACACCCATATGATGCTTCTTGTGTTGTCCTTTTCACATAAGCCTTGCACGGGAGGCAAGTGAAAAGACTGAAGGTCTGAGGCAGGATTAATTGGATCTGCCTGGAGTCACACAACTCCTGAATTTCACCAGATCTAAGTTGCCACTGATTTTAAGATATTCCATTAGTTTAGGCGCTGCTGTGAAAGAAAACATACCCAGGAGGAGGAGTCTAATGCAAAACTCCTTTAAAAATAGTGCTGCCGAGGGCCAGCTCGTTCCGAGTTTGGGATAATGAGATGTGGATCTGCCAGATAGAAAGTGTGGCAAAGAATATTGCCTTCCTCGACCTTGGCATTGGGTGCAGAAAGGGCAAAAATGGCTCCTCTGAACTGAGTCAGGCAAGTTGGTGGTCTGAGTCCTGCATCCAGCAATGGTCCAGAAAAACCAGAGGCGGAGACTTTCTCATAAGACGGCCCCGGTGTGGTCATTCCCCAGGCCAGTGGGAAAAGCTGACCCCAATTCCCTGGAAGGACTCGGTTCAGCCTGGGCTGACACTGCCTGTGCAGCTCCACGTGCTGTGAGACACATTCTCATTTCAGGGATGAGCGTCTTAGAACCGATGAAAAGCTTGGTGGGGGGACACACTTTGGTCCTGGGAATTTGGTCCCGGGAATCCACGTGTAGAGACCCCTTCCCTCCCCCAGGTACCTCTTTCCCTCATTCCTTCAGTAGCTTCCACGTTACTCCTTTGAGTCTCTGAGTAGGGCTGCCAGCCCCCTGTTGCCCTTTTCTATCAACACCACTGGTCGAATGTGAGCTGTAGAGCCAGCCTGGGGCTTCTCCATGCTCACCAGCCTCTGCACCAGGCAGGGGTTGTTACCCTGAATGGCAGTGCAACAGCTCTAGTCACAGACGGACTCTTCAGTGCTGATAACCTGGTCTGAATCTCCCCAGAAGCCCAGCTGCTTTTTATGGGTGGAGCTGCCTATTAATTCTCCAGGTCCGGCCACATGTACCTGTGAGCAGGGCAGGCGTCTGGAATCTGGGGAAGAAGCAGTGGAGGAGTTGAGGTTTTACCATTGACTGTAGTGCCCCTATTTCCTGTTGTCACAGCAACAAACTCACTCAGAGACCCCACATAGTTTCCAAGAGGGCACGTGGATACGTCCCCCTTTCACCGTGAAAAGCTGGAAACTAAAAGGATGGCTGCCTTGTTGGGAAATTAAACCTCAAACATTTTATCAAAGGCCTGTCTCTGGAGTTACCACAGTCCTTTCATTTAGGAACGTCAGCTTGACCACATCTCTTTAAGAGATTGGAAATCCAGGCAAACCAGTGGGAAAACCTACTCGTGGATGGCTCATTTCAAGATTAAATTTAGAACTTGGTCAGAGAAGGCTTCTTGGGATTTTAACCTGATTGGAGCTTGAGTTAGTAAGAACAAAGTCACCGCTAATACGAGGCATCATTTTCTTACATTCGTGTGGCATTTACAAACCCTCCTGCTTTTCCATACGATTTTTCTGTTCAATTATTGTTACCCCCCAATTTTTTTTTTTTTTTTTTTTTTGGTGCCGAAACCCAGGAATGAACAAACGCAAATTTTTGAGAGGTAGGAAAGATTATTCCATGTTCTAGACAGAATTAAGACATAGAGATTAAGTCCTGTTGGGTGGCCAGTCAGGAGAGGGAGTTCATCTCTGGGCTTTTCTTTCGTCCGAGTGATGTTGCGTCATGGGTGCCGCCAGATCGATGAGATCTCGCCAGGATGGAGGGTGGATTCTGAAGTTTACTGTGTTCCCTTCCTCTAGTCTCTCGAATACAACATCTTCGAAGGCATGGAGTGCCGTGGCTCTCCCCTGGTGGTCATCAGCCAGGGGAAGATTGTTCTGGAAGACGGCACCCTTCATGTCACCGAAGGCTCTGGGCGCTACATCCCCCGGAAGCCCTTCCCTGACTTTGTTTATAAGCGTATCAAGGCAAGGAGCAGGGTGAGTACCTCTGATCTATCGTGGATTAAGTTCAATTCCAAAATCACTAAGCACCTTGAGTCAGACTACTGAGGTATATACAGAGGATTCATAGATAAGGGAAACACAGTCTTTTTATTCCTGGAGTTCAGAATGCCAGCGGAGGAGCCAGGCATGTCTGCAGCCAGCCAGATTGAAGTGAGACTGCTGTCATGAGGAGTGTGTGATGAGATTCAGGAGGGAACCGCTGCTGCGGAGTCTTTTTTTTTTTAAATAAATTTATTTTATTTATTTATTTTTGGCCGTGTTGGGTCTTCGTTGCTGTCCGCGGGCTTTCTGTAGTTGTGGCAAGCAGGGGCTACTCTTTGTTGTGGAGCATGGGCTCTAGGCACACGGGCTTCAGTAGTTGTGGCATGTGGGCTCAGTAGTTGTGGCGCACAGGCTTAGTTGCTCCGTGGCATGTGGGATCTTCCTGGACGAGGGCTCGAACCCGTGTCCCCTGCATTGGCAGGCAGATTCTTAACCACTGCACCACCAGGGAAGCCCTGCTGCGGAGTCTTAAGGGAAAATGTCATGGGGAGAGGGCATTTTGAGTTGGATCTTGAAGGTTAAGTAGAAGTTGGATAAGTCAAAGAAGGGAGACAAGGGAATTAAGTAGAGAGAATGTTACGAGCATGGAAAATGTAGAGAGTATTCAGGACATGGTGAACGGTCTCCAGCACTGGTGCTTGGGGACTGTGAGGCAGGGAATGGGTAGGGATGTAAAGGAATTAAAGGGACAGTAAGATTGGTAAGTATGGGGCCAGGTCTTGAACGTGAGACCAGATCCTCTTCACAGCATGTTTGGGAATTCCTGCAGGGTTTAAGGTGAAGTGTCTTGGGAGAAAATAGGAAGAACTGTTTATCAGTTTTTATGTGACCCATGTTGGGGTAGCTTTGCCCTGGAGCCAGGGGCCCTGCCTCATGCTGACATCTGTCCCTGCTGTACCCGACCATAGAAAGCCCTCCATCCCCAAATGTCACCGGCCCATCCTGGCACCTGTTCCTTCCCCATCAGGAGGGTTGCCAGGGGGGCGTCCTCTGTGAATGTGGCCTGAGTCAAGGGGCTCTTGTGTTTTTGCAGCTGGCAGAGCTGAGAGGGGTTCCTCGTGGCCTGTATGATGGACCTGTGTGTGAGGTGTCTGTGACACCCAAGACAGTCACTCCGGCCTCCTCGGCTAAGACGTCTCCGGCCAAGCAGCAGGCCCCACCTGTCCGGAACCTGCATCAGTCTGGATTCAGCTTGTCTGGTATGGTTATGGTTTGGTCAGGGCCCAGTTCTGCAGGGCTGTGCTCCGTGTTGCTGGTGGGTCTGGGATCACTTTTGAGAAGGAGAAGAAGTGGAAGTGAATGATGGACCTATTCTTCCCAAAGATGTAACTCACTAGAGATGTAATTCATAGCAGATGATGGGTTGGGTTTCAGAATCTTGACACGAGTCTATATCACATATAATGTCATGTGTACACTGTGTGTCATACCCAGGATATTAGAGGACATTTTTTCAGCGCATCATGTCCATTGTGAAAAAGGGTATTGTGGTGTTTTAGGACTCTCTTCTCCCCGACGTATGCAATATACTGTAGTGGTTCAGCTTGTGGAATCTAGAGTTTCAACAGCTTAACTTCGTAGCCCAGATTCGAACTGTGCCTCCCGTCTCCTCACCTATAAGATGGGTATAATGTTAGTAGTTACCTCATGGGGTTGTTCTGAGGATTAAATGACTTCATATACATGTAAACTGCTTAGAATCAAGCCATTTGATAATTGTCAGCTATTTGCCTGGATAAACTATGTGATGTCAGGGGAGGTGAGAGGGAAGAGTCCAGATTTTAGAGCTTCCTTACTTGAACTTCAGTATTTCATTTTGCCTGGGATTAAAAACCTACTTTTCTAGTTCCTTGAGTCACAGATACGTATCTAAATTTTTATGGTGGGTTAAAGGAACAGTAAAGCAGATACATTTTTTTTTCTTGTCAGATATACTGGTTTTTAGAAAGTTGCCATATACAGATTACCCATTTTCAAAAAATTTAAAAATAATGAAAATTAGTTTTCCCGTAAAGTAACATGGGCATGATACAGTCTGTGCTGTCTTTCACCAGGCCATTGAAATATAAAGACCATCATGACACCTGTCATTTTTTAAAAAATTTTATTGAAGTATAGTTGATCTACAATGTTGAGCTTAATTTCTGCTGTACAGCAAAGTGACTCTGTTATACATATATATTCTTTTTCATATTCTTTTCCATTATGGTTTATCACAGGATATTGAATATAGTTCTCTGTGCAATATCTAAAAAAAAAAAAAAGACTCACAGACATAGAGAACAGACTTGTGGTTGCCAAGGGGGAGTGGGGTGGGTGAGGGATGGAGTGGGAGTTTGGGGCTAGCAGATGTAAACTATTATATATAGGATGGATAAACAACAAGGTCCTACTGTAGAGCACAAGGAACTATATTCTATATTCAATATCATGACTCCTATCTTTGATGACACAGAGGATGGATAGTGTTAGGGGAACAGAATGCACCTCTGGAAAAGCCACACTCGATTTGATCACTGAGAATAGGGACAGGATGTAGTCTGAGTTGCTCAAAAACCTGAAATATAGTGTCCTTTTACATACAGTTTTACTTTCTAGGTATGGGATTCAACTAGCTTCCGCAAGGATGGCTTTATTCAGTGTGTGATTCCTAGGCCACGTGAGGCCCATCCTTTTTTTGTAGCTTATACTTTTGGTGAGGTTTTAGAAGGACAAAGAATGGGCCTGACACTTTTTCTCCCAAGCTATGTTATTTCGTTACAAAACAGAAATAGAGTCACAGATGTAGAAGCCAAACTTACGGTTACCAAGGGGGGGAAAGGGAGGGGGGAGGGATACATTGGGAGATTGGGATGGACATATACACACGACTATATGTAAAATAGATAATCAGCGAGGACCTACCCTATAGGTCAATACTCTGTAATGACCTAGATGGAAATAGCATCTAACAAAGAGTGAGGTATGTATATGGATAACTGACTCACTATGCTGTACAGCAGACACTAACACACCAGTGTAAATCAACTAGACTCCAATAAAAATTAATTTAAAAAACCCAAGCTATGTTATTTCGGTTTAGAGCAGGGATCCGTATAGCTTTCTCTGACCCTCATCTTCTCTCGTCTCCAGGTGCCCAGATTGATGACAACATTCCCCGCCGCACCACCCAGCGCATCGTGGCGCCCCCTGGTGGCCGTGCTAACATCACCAGCCTGGGCTAGAGTTCAGGGCCGCCGTCGGCTTAGGGATGGGGGATGGGACACCTGAGGACATTCGGAGACTTCCTTCCTTCCTTCCTTCCTTCTTTTTTTTTTTTTTTTTTTTTTTTAAAGAGCCTGTGATAGTTACTGTGGGGCAGCCAGTTCCTGGGGCTCCCTCTCTCGGGCCCCCCGCACTCCGTCCCTCACCCGGAGTCACCAGTTTTGGTCACCCACCTCCCTACACATCTACGAATATCACACCTGCGTCTCTCCACCAGGCCCGTACACAGAACTGCGTCCAACACTCAGACATGCGAAACAAAGCAAATCACAGTGAGGGTGTTGCTCATCTCCAGCCTCTGTTGTGCTTGCATCATCTTCCTTTTCATCGGGGGGAGGGGAAGATAAAGTGAATTGCCCAGAGCTGCCTTTTTCTTTTTAAATATTTAGAAAATTTTTCTTTGTGGGGCTGCAGGTGGGGTGGGCAGGGGAAGGGGGGGAGAGGTTTGTTTTTCTTTAAATACTAAATTGGAAAGCCTAATGCAATATTAATACAAGGGGTTTGAACTGGACATCCTAATGATGCAATCGTGTCACCTTCAAGCTGATTCAGGGTGGTGGGCAGACTCGTCATGTCCCTCCTGAGAGGCTGTACAGCGTCCACACCGCCATTCCATCATCTTCTGGGTCAACTGTTAATAAAGGGCAGGTTTTCTTTCTGGCCTAGATTTTGCTGCAGATGAAATCTTTGGAGGATCCTCTTCTCCTCTCTTCACCTCTCTTCTGCTTGCACTCTCTCCCTCTTGCTTCTTCATTCATGGATATTTTCACGTGTCTGGCTCTTTCTTTGTGTTTCTTCCAGCCTTCGTCTCTGACATGCTGTTTTTGCCTTCTATCCCCCGTGGTCTTTTCCAGTGACCAGGTCCGCCATTTTACTGTGGCCCCACGAACCTGCCTGGAAAGATACGAGCTTTGTCATCGCAACCATCGTAATGTGCTATCCTAGTCCATATAAGACCAGCGCTACCCACCCACGTCTCCAGGATGTGCGATTGAGTTTGAGATGCTTCCCAGGTGCAGAAAAGGGCCAGGTTATCCACACTGTCACACGCGGGCCCAGGATAGACCTCAGACAGTGCCGAGCTGTTGAAGAAGTCTGAGGCTCTAGGACCTGAGAGTTTTTCCTCTGTGCAATGCTAAGTGGCTAAAGACACAAACAAATCTGTAAATCAAGCCCAACACCCAAGGGAGCCAGTCAGCCTCAAGCCAACCACCAGCTCAGAGGTGCTGAGCTGATGGTGGTCTGGCCCTGAGGGCCTGCTGTTTACCAACTAGGTAGTTTTGGGGATGCCAGAGCGCACTGGGCTTCTCACTTTGGAGGAAAAGAAATTTGTTTTCTTGTCCAATTATTTAGAAAGACATCACGCAACATAGGGAAGCCTGCTAACCTCGGGAAACCCATGGGAAATTTGACTTAAAGACCATTTCAGTTGGCAAGAGGAAAAATCCGTTTTGTGAGTCAGAGCTCTTGTGGGGAGAAAACCTTGTAAATTTGACGAGTGGCCCCTTAGAGACCGCAGGCGACCTTGTGTCCACACCCCGCCCTCTCCTGGTCTCGGAGACCCTTTCCACTCGCTGCCTCGTGCTTGTCCCTGTCTTAGCTGAGCTTTGTTGCATCTCCTTCCAAGCGTGTTTACAGGTCCTCCCAAGCCACGTTATGTGTGCAGGCTTTTATAAAACCAAATCTGCTTTTGTAAAGCGTAACATCAAGAAGTAGCTCATCCCATCATGACACTCGTCTCTCCACATGTTTTGCCTTTGGGGTTATGGCTGGGGGTTCTTTTGTTGTTGTTGTTGTTGTTTGTTATTTTAAAAGTAAATTGCACTTTTAAAGAATAATTGGTTAACTTAATATATTTGCTTTTTTTCTTCTCATCTGCCCTTCGAGGGAATTTGAACCAGTCGGAAAAAAAATTTTGTTTCAATTCTGAGAAACGCTTGCAGCTCTCTTCTCTTCACTTGAGTCTTCCTGTTTTTCCATGATGGTCATTTCGGTTGTTTCCATTGTTTCCTTCAAACAACTTAAAACCTGAAGATTTCCGCAGGCTGTGTAAGCATGTTTACCTGTTGGCTTGCTTTGTGTGTCTGTTAAATGAATGTCATGTGTAAATGCTAAAATAAATTGACCGTGTCTCAGAACTGAATAACTGCAGTGACCTGATGCTCTAAACCAGTGTAGGATTTAATCATAGATGGTTTTTAATCCTTGGAATTGTGATTGTGACCCACGAGTGGAGGAACTTTCAGTGCTAAAGCTGATTATGTGTGTAGCCAGAAGAGTACTTTTTTTTTTTTTTTTTGTTACCACTGTCTTAATGGCAAAATAATTATGGTAAAAAAAACAAGTCTCGTGTTTATTATTCCTTAAGAACTCTGTGTTATATTACCATGGAACGCCTAATAAAGCAAAATGTGGTTGTTTCCAGGTGTGTCTGTGTTGAGATGTTCAAGGAGGAGGCTGCTCGGCCCGGGCCTCCATCAGAACTTCCCTTTCTGGAAAATTCTGGATGCCTTTGGCCTCGTTTTGATGACTGTCAATTCAAGCGTTTTCACTGAGTGTTGCGGGTGGTTTTGTCCAGGCCACTGAGGTCTAATTCCGGGCGGAGCCCTGAGTCTCAGAAATTCATAGACTGTACCCCAAGACGGGCCAAGGGAGCCTCCCGAATCAAGCTGCACACCTTAAGTCGGGAATTGTGTCACCTTCAAGCTGATTCAGAAATCCGGTGGGACCATGTGGGTTAGTGTAGTGACCCCCGGGATCTGTGCATCCTTGGAGCTCGTGCACTCTGGGAAATCCTCAAGCCACAGGGGGGGCATGGAAGATAAGAGACTGAGCTATATGGGCCTGCATCCAGAGTCCAGTTAAGGAGCTTGCAGGAGGGAATTCCCTGGTGGTCCAGTGGTTAAGACTCCTTGCTCTCACTGCTGGGGGCCTGGTTCAATCCCTGTCGCGGGCCAAAAATAAAGGAGCTTGCAGGAAACCAGGACGCAAAGCACACGTTCCTCTACCCTCCAGGCAAGTGCCAAGAATGCACATCTTGGGGGGAGGGTGAGCCATGCCCACCCCTGCCTACCGGGTGCTTGGTTCCCATAGTTACCTTGTTAACTGGGATCGGTATCATTGGTTCACAAAACTGCACGAAGAGGGTGTGTGCTTGGGGGCTCCCCTGGCCCATCATGTGGTTGATGAAGTCTTTTACTCTTTTCTCTTGTTTTCTATGCAGCCCTATGCAAACAGGATAGAAGGTACAAATATATGCACACAGATACAAAAATATGCACACTCTACCAAGCTTTGATGAACAGGGTGTTTGAGTTAAGGGAAAATAAGAGCAGGAAAAGTAAGAGAAGGTCGGCGTCTGGTTGGTACAACACACTGCCATGAGGTGGTAAATTTGTGAGGGAACGCTGAGTGTTCTAGCAACAAATAGAAAAAAAAGAAAAACATAGCCAGAAGACTGTATAACATCTATAGTGACCCGAAGAGGAATTAGTCCTTCCAAAAGAATACAGAGATTCCCGGTCCGCAGCCCTGAGGGCAGGTCCTGGTTCCCCGCAAGAGTCCAAGGGCCGTCCACACCTGCTGTGAGGCTCGCCCTCTGACGGAGAGGCCCGTGAAGATGCTGGGAAGAGGCTTGTGTCCATCTGAGGAGGGAATTGAAGGCAGGTGGCCAGAGAGCAGGTACTCTAAAGAGGGGAGTCCCATGGGTGCCAGGTGGCTGAACAACGGGGCCAGGTATATAACTCTGGTGGTATAATTTAATCCAAAGACAGATGTTAGAGCATCTAGAATAAGTAAGTGGAGCGCATATCCTTCCGGAAGTGTTTTTGTGCTGAATTGATGGGAGTTGAAGGTTATATTGTCTGGCAAGTTTCTGCAGTACACGTCCTGTAAGAAAAGGCAGATCTAAAATGAAAATGATCAAATTCAGTATTGAACGAACAAAAAGAAAAACAAAAAAAAAGAAAAGAAAAGAAAAGAAAAGGCAGATCTTTCCTATGAACTGAGATGGGGTTGTTTTGGCGGTGCCACTGATTAGGTATGTATGTTTGGGAAAGCTGGTTCACATCTCTGGGCCTTATTTCCCCTCTCTGTGAGAGAGGGGATGTTATCTACCCAACCTAACTCCCATAATGGACAAGCCATAAATCAGATACGGTGCAGAGTAGAGGAACAGGAAGCTGTCGGGAACGGTGTCCTAAGTGTCTCTCCTGAAAGAGAAAGATTAGCTGATGAAGACTGATGACTGCAGAGACCTCAGAACGATGAGACATCAGAGCTGGTGTCAGTCGTTAAATAAAAACATCTGTTGAAGTCACGCTGATAATAGCAGAGGTTATTATGTGCCAGGCCCTGCTCCAAAGGGCGTTTCACATATTAACTCAGTCTTTGCAGCAACCCAGAAGAAGGTACTATGACTTATGCCATCACACAGATGAGGGTAACAGAAGCACAGAGCGTCAGTGACTTGCCCAGAACCAGGCTTTGGCCATTCAGTCTGGGGCCAGTGGCCAGATTTATACTCATGGTGATTCCACTCTCTCTTACGAGAAATCTCCTGCTTAGAAGGGGGTGGGAAAAGAGAGATGGGAAGTGCCAGAGAATATGACTGTGCAGGTAGTGAGGGAGACTCATGGAGCAGAATTGTGGACAAACGAGAGATTTGCAGAAAAGAACGATGATCTCACGAAGCCCAACACAGATTTGGAGCTATGTGGCCTTTAGGTAAGAAGAAATGAGAGGTCTAGAAAATACACAGAAAGCCAGGGGAAAAAGAGTTTAGAGAAGGGCAAAAAGGGTAAGGGAAAACAATAATTTGAGGCCATTATGTTTTATATACCAGATGTGGGGAAATTGTGTTGATTTGGTGAAAAATTACAAATGTATGTATATGCAGAGATGAACATATGTGTATAATTTTTATAAGGATCTCAAAAGAATGAATAAAATAGTGTCTATTGAAAATACTTTGGGGACTTCCAGGGTGGTCCAGTGGGTGAGACTTGTGCTCCCAGCGCAGGGGGCCTGGGTTCGATCCCTGGTTGGGGAACTAGATCCCACCTGCATGTCGCAACTAAAGATCCCATGTGTCTCAACTAAGACCTGACGTAGCCAAAATATATAAATAAATAAAAATAAATCTTAAAAAAAAAAAAGGGAAAGAAAATACTTGAAGAGGAGCAAAGGGACCTAGACGTGGGAGCGCGTTGTCGTTTTCTGAAGATTGATGTCAGGAGAGGGATGTTGCAGTCGGATGGGGCAGGCAGGTAACACCCCCGCCCTTAGCAGCAAGGAGCGTAACCTCTGATCAGAGCTTTGGGCTTTGCGGGGCTGGACATGACATGAGGGGCCCTTGGAAGGAACACTGGGAGGGTCGAAGGTCAAACAGTATGTCAGATAAAGTTGTATGGTTCAAATAATTTATTACATTGAGATTATTTATGTGATTAGTTTTGGCAGCTAAGCCTCGTCCGTGCTGTAGTTACACAAACGGTCCACATCCTAATAAACTTCATCCCGCAACCCAGAACCTGGTGTGTGTGATGGGAATGGGGCTGGGGGGAGGGGGGTGTCAGAGAGAAGTGTTCTGACCTCCTCCAGTGATGACCTTCAGCTTCATCTTGGGATCTGGGGACACCAGGAACCCTGGATAGCACCCGAGGGTGGACCCCTCAGGGCAGAAGGGGGCAGGAGGGGAGAACTTCCTGTCTGGCTGTTCACAGGTCTTTAGGGTCCATCCCTCCTCAGGAAAGACCGGATGTGCAGTGGACTTCACACTGAGCTTACATGTCTGATGGTTATTCCCCTTGAGTGTTCCTGTCACTCCAAAGGTTTGCTGTTTCCATCCCTCAGCAATTCAGGGGGCCTCTGGGGACCTCCTGAATAAGCCTAGTAAAAGGGGTCAGCTTACTGTGGTGTTGCTCTCCCCCAGCTGGAGACACACATCTTTTATCTTTTCCTACATGTTTAAGTGTTAGGTGAGAAAGCACAGAATGTAGTCAGGGACCACTTTGTCTCGCAAGGGAGCAAGGAGGAGACGGGCCGGCCACCTGCTGGGATACTCTGGGGGGCCAGCAGGGAAGTGGGCTCCCAGCTTTAACTTCCACTCTCTTTTTGACCACCCACTTTTTTTTTTTTGCGGTACCTGGGCCTCTCACTGTTGTGGCCTCTCCCTTTGCGGAGCACAGGCTCCGGATGCGCAGGCTCAGCAGCCATGGCTCACGGGCCCAGCCGCTCCGCGACATGTGGGATCTTCCCGGACCAGGGCACGAACCCGTGTCCCCTGCATTGGCAGGCGAACTCTCAACCACTGCGCCACCAGGGAAGCCCTGACCACCCACTTTTGGATGTCATACACCTTCAGTCTTGTGACTTGGTTGTCCTCCAGCTTTTAGCCTACCCCTAGCATCCCACCAGTGCCCCATGGTGGGTGTTTTCACTCTCCTACTAGTTCCCTTAATGTCCTCCCACAGTTCCCGTTGAACAAACTCTGGCTCTGGATCCCCAAGCATAGCAGCCCTGCCAGCCAGCAGCCCCTGCACCGCTATGTTGATGTAGAGCACCAACTGCAAAGGGCAGACACAGCCCCACCAAGGTGAAGGACTCCCTGCCTATTGCTTAATTCCTCCCTGGCGATCCACACCATGTGCCAGGTCGTGAGGAATGTGAATTCGTGACCAACCCCCAACTGCCTGGCCTCCTTCCAGGCCACGGCTGAGTTCCGGGAGGCCCAAGGGCTACTGTGCAACATGGGACTGTTGACCTGAAACACACTGCCAGATATTTCTCCAGCAAAGATGGGTTTATTTGGGATCTGCAGAGAATTGCCCTTAACCGTCTGTGACCACGGTGAGCCATGTGCAAGTTCCCGTGGGGCAAGGGAAGGAGAACACTTTAAAAACAAATTTAAATAGAGGAAAATGAAGTTGGGAGGCTCTAGTAAACAAAGAGTCGGTGGCTTTCATTGGCTGAACTCTTGCCAGGGAAGAAGAGTCTTTCTTCTTCCTGTTGGGCCCTGTGATCATCTCAGGACGTGAGAGCTCCCTCTTCTGGTGGCCCAGCTCTATTTAATTGAGATTTCCATCTGTTAATTTTTTACAGGACTAGGGAAAGCCAGTTCCTCGTACCTCATCTTCCTTTCTTTTCTCCGTTTTCACCCACATATTGTCCTTCTGGGCATCTGTTCTCTTCTGCGCGTCTTCCCCTTGACCACTGCCAAGCTCTCTCTCTATATATGCTTTATGGTCAACAAACTTACTGACATGATTCCATAAACACCCATCTTCACGGAACATTCATCCCTATATCTTTGTCTTCAAAGAAAACCTGGTCCCCCTTTCTGAGGACAAAGTTTTGTCCTTAGTCTTTTTAGGTGGAGCTTCCTCTGCGTCTAACTTCCCATATTCTTCAGGTGGTGGGGG